AAAAACAAATACAGTATGACAAATTAATTCATGATTTATTAAGACTATTAAATATGTATAATACAACTAAAATAGGTGGAGTTGTCAGTCTTGAACCTTGCCCCTGAAAAACAGTTCTAGGGGCCCTGCAAACATGCAGACATTGAGGATATAACCTCCCTTCCCTATTCTACTCTTTAAACAAGTGATGAAAAATGTGTGACTCATGGCCTTTGCTGTGGGAACAATTCATGATTTATTAAGACTATTAAATATGTATAATACAACTAAAATAGGTGGAGTTGTCAGTCTTGAACCTTGCCCCTGAAAAACAGTTCTAGGGGCCCTGCAAACATGCAGACATTGAGGATATAACCTCCCTTCCCTATTCTACTCTTTAAACAAGTGATGAAAAATGTGTGACTCATGGCCTTTGCTGTGGGAACACACTGGGCTTCCTCAGTGATACAGATGTACTTGCTCAGCCTTAAGAGTCAACTCATTCTTTTGTAACTTTGGTCTTCCTGAAAAACCCACAACAACCTTTTGTAACTTTCTTCATTTTTGAAATCCTGCCCATCCAAAGGATTTTCAGGAGTAAACACAGCTTGTAGAATTATCCACAATTTAAATACCAGCTTATCTCAGAAATAAATTTGTCCACTGATGTTAAGATTCTGATGCCGTATTAAGATCTCAGCATGTTCTCATATATAGGGGAAAGGGGCAAATTGAAGGAGGGCATTTTGAAATATGTGCATAGAATCATCAGCAGACTGAATCTGTTTAAGTTTCCAGATGTATTTCATTATTTCGTCTTCCTGCTGTCTCTCAAATGTTTTCAAGGCCAATCTTCAAAAAGTTTCTCTTATTGTCAGAATAGGATGCATGTAAGGACTTTCAGTTCCAACACTTTCTTGTTACATGCCATTAAATTCTTTCAGACCTACAGCAATAAAATGAATTAGTGCCCTTTTCATTACTAACCCTGCTCAGAATTTGCAAGCTAAAGGATGTAACTTCTTTTCTTGAGTCAATGAATCTCATGTCAGGTCTTCATCTTTTCCTGTTGCTTTTTATTTTTCTTAACATTGCCTTTTCCAGTGAGCCTTGTCTTCTCATTGTGTAAGTCAGATAGCTGCAATTTGTTTTAGCTTTTATGGAAAGTTCAATCCTGGTTTCATTTAGAACCCTTTATTTATCTTCCTAATTGTTCAGGATATCCACAAAGCCCTTGTCTGATACAAAATTTCAAATGAACAGTTTTTTAATGTCAACTTTCTTAATTGCTCAGTGTTCCTGTTTATCTGAATCTTATGCAGTTTTCCAGATGGTATGTCCTGCATATAGATTGAACAGACAGGGAAATAAACGGTATCCTTGTCTCACTCACACCTTTTGCTTTGTGATTTCTGCAATGCCAAAGCTTTTTAAATTCTTTAGCCACTAGAGGGCATACAATCACAGGACAAAACTAGAGAAAGCGATGTGCCACTTCATAAGGTCTGGTACTGCATAAATACCAGCTCCTCACTTGAGGAA